CTCTTCCGAGATGTAATACATAGATTGTCGAGCCCTGAGTATATCAGCCAGAGGAATCGTGAGTGGATCTGCCGATCTGAGGTTTGCCCATCGGAAGCTAGCAATGAGGATTACTGATGCTGTCCCTGCTCTTAGAGTGTAGTCATAGAACCGGTACCTTAGCCTCACAGACTTAGCCTGGGAGACTGCTGAGGGCCGCCTGGCAGCCTCCTGGTGGATGGGTGCTCTGATCAGGCAGTTGTCGAGGTAGGGAAATATAGCTACGATTCGTTCGCGGAGGTGGGCTTCCACTACTGCAATGAGTTTTGAGAAGACCCTTGGGGCCATGGAAGTCTGAAGGACAGCACTGTGTATTGGAAATGTGCTGTGCCCAGTGTGAACGTCAGGTATTTGTGATGCACAGGATGCATGGATACGTGAAAATAAGTGTCCTGGAGGTCGAGAGTCGATAGCCAATCCCCTTCGTTTAGGGCTGGTATTATGGTGGCTAAAGTCACCATCTTGAAGCGCTCCCTGCAAATGTGGCATTTGAGTTTCAGTTTCCTGAGATTGAGAATTGGTCTCCAACCCCCTGATTTTTTTGTTGTGAGGAAATAACGGGAGTAGAAGCCTGTTTCTGTGAGGCTAAGGCACCCAGGTGGAGGAGATGGTCGATCTCGTGGAGAAGAACACTCTCGTGAGATGGGTCCGTGAAGGTCCATAAGGGCAGGATCCATGGGCAAGGCCAGTATGGAGGTTTGTGTGGCATGGAGTATGCTGGACAGTTTGCATTGGGTCTTGGGGAAGTTGGCCAGGGAGACCTCAAGGACATCAGCTACTCGTTTAGGGTATGTCTACACTACAGCGCTAGTTCGAACTAACTTAGTTCGAATTAGTTAATTCGAACTAAGCTAATTCAAACTAACGCGTCTAGAACTAAAAACTAGTTCGAATTAGCGTTTTGCTAATTCGAACTAGCAAGTCCACATTGAGTGGACTCTGAACAGGGCTTAAGGATGGCCGGAAGCAGTGCCGGCAGGGCATAAGAGGAGGACTTAGAGCATGGAGATGCTGTCTCAGGCTAGCCGAGGGCTGCGCTTAAAGGGTCCCGACCCCCACCCCGGACACACAGTTCTAAGGGGTGCCCCGCTTGCAAAGAAGTTCTGGCTTGGAGTGCCCTGAGTGCCCACACTGGGCACATCACACCACTCGGCCATCAGCCCGGCTGCACTTGCCGCAGGCTGCCATCTGGGGAGAGGGAGTAATTGGGGGGCTGCAGGAGAGCTTCCACCCCCAGAAGCCCGCAGAGCCAGCCCAGTCCTCCCCATCGGGGGCTCGTACCCCATTCCTCCCTCACCTCCTGCCACTTAAGAGGGTAGGAGACATTGGTGGAAAAATAGTTAGGATTGAGGCGGTTCCATAGGAAGGGGTTGTATCGGGCTCTCGACCTGACCTTCAAAATGTTTGCCTGGAGATAGATGGCTGAGACGTGGCTGGCTGGTCAGCGGATTGTCCGCGTTTGGTTTGACGTTGTTTCCTCCTATTGTCGAAGTGCCTCTGAGTCTGATTAAAAAATAGAATTTGTACCTGTGATTCAAGTATCTATTGTGTTTGTGCTTTGCTGCAGGGACATGGATCCCAAGGATTTTCAGTGTTGTTCTAGAATCCCTGAGCGAATGGAGGGATGCATCAGCTGAGTCCACGAACAGCTTTGATCGTTTGGTTTGACGTT